GTGGACAGGCAGCGTGTGGCCCCATCCTACCTGGCCGTGGAGCAGGGGGAGGGTGGACACCGGGGCAGCAACACTCCGCCCCCAGAATACCTACAGTAGGTGCTCTGGGGGTGGAGTGTGGGCAAGGCCAGGCTGGAGGTTTGGGAAGGCAGTGTCTTCCCGTTTAGGATAAGTACACCATGTCTGCAGGGCAGCAAAGATCAAAACACTGAACAGAACTATTAGGGCATGCATTGTGGAATCCTGGCAGACAGTTCTGGCAACAAAACAAACAGCAATAAAGGAAGGGGAAAAGAAAAAGTGTCTTCTGCGGAGGTGGACATTTTTTCTTGCCAAAACTGGGCATTTTCCCCAACAAAAGCTACATTGCAATGTGTACACTCCCTCTGTTCTGATTCCAAAAGGCAGGTTTTTTGTGACAAAACTTGGTAGTGTAAACAAGGCTTAAGGCTTTGTCTACAGTACTACACAGCTTTTAACACAGCCATCTCAACAAGGTTGTGTCACTAAAAGTGCCAGACTGCATGCAGGAGTAAAACCCCCACACAGGACGGTCTCTCACACCGGGGGCCCCCCGCCCGCCCGACGCAGCGGGGACTGCAGAGTGTCGGGGCCCCGGTCTCCGTCCGTCCCCCGAGGGCGTTCTCAGCCTGGGCTTGCCCCTTCCTTGTGTGGCCATAGGCTGGTTTCAGGGGGTCTCTCAAAATAAATCAGAGAGTAGGACTGGTCATGGACTCATGGAGGTCCAGGGCACAAAGCATCTTAGGATTCCCTCCAAGTTCTCCCACAGCCTCTTCAGTGAGTGGCTTCACCAGTAGCTCTGTGAGCTCTCCACCTGAGGAATGTGAAAGCAGCACAACAGTCTTTCCCTCACCTTCATCCTGGCATCTGCCTGCCACAATGTTCCTAGTGCAGAATAGAAGCATTCCAATGATTTAATTTGCATGTTCCCCAAGCAAAAAAGCACACTCAGGTGTCAGATATTTCCCAGAGCTTTGAAAGGAGAGGAATGCATGTCTGCAGGCATGGGCAGTGGGTGAAGGCAGGGCTGAGGGAGGCAAGTCTCCAGCCCCACCCCAACTTCGCCCCTTCTGCTGAGGCCCTGTCCCCATGGGAGCCAAGCCACTTCCCTGGCCCCCATCATCACGAGGAGGGTGGGTGGGTGCACGCGCATGCCCAAGAGCACAGGGTGGACAGGCAGCGTGTGGCCCCATCCTACCTGGCCGTGGAGCAGGGGGAGGGTGGACACCGGGGCAGCAACACTCCGCCCCCAGAATACCTACAGTAGGTGCTCTGGGGGTGGAGTGTGGGCAAGGCCAGGCTGGAGGTTTGGGAAGGCAGTGTCTTCCCGTTTAGGATAAGTACACCATGTCTGCAGGGCAGCAAAGATCAAAACACTGAACAGAACTATTAGGGCATGCATTGTGGAATCCTGGCAGACAGTTCTGGCAACAAAACAAACAGCAATAAAGGAAGGGGAAAAGAAAAAGTGTCTTCTGCGGAGGTGGACATTTTTTCTTGCCAAAACTGGGCATTTTCCCCAACAAAAGCTACATTGCAATGTGTACACTCCCTCTGTTCTGATTCCAAAAGGCAGGTTTTTTGTGACAAAACTTGGTAGTGTAAACAAGGCTTAAGGCTTTGTCTACAGTACTACACAGCTTTTAACACAGCCATCTCAACAAGGTTGTGTCACTAAAAGTGCCAGACTGCATGCAGGAGTAAAACCCCCACACAGGACGGTGAAGAGGGGATAACAGGTACCCTGATGGGATGAAACATCTACTGTGTTTGTAAAGATCGGGACTGGGATGTGTGTGCAGAGAGACTTTCTTATTTCCCCTCTCAGAGGATGCTGCATGTCATCATGGGGCTGTGTTCTTAAAAGGCCATTCAACAGAATTAGTACTTTGGATGACTCTTAATCCACTTCATTATTCCTGATCTTTGCTCTTCTTTAAATTCTACCATACTCACACTACCCCTAATCAAACTATGTTCTTCTCTCAGACCCTTCCAAAAACAAATGCTTTCTATAAGCATCCCTTACATCCATTGCAATGTCTCGGGAGACCTGGTTGCTTCTGTCTAGTTTCTTATGCAATGCCTATCATCATGATATCTGAGCACCTTTTGACTTCTTTTAGACTATATCATTACTATAAAAGGGATGTGTGGCAGGGGGGAGAGGGGTGCCTTCACTGAGATAACCACGTCAATGTAAAATCCTAGGTAAGGCAAGGGACAGGTTTTTTTTACTTTAATGTACCCAGCCGAGGTAAAGCCAAGGTAAGAGGGTCTGACATTGACCTTGTCTAGCAAAATCAAAGTAAAACCTCCCTTTTGCTTTGTCTTCTTCACTAGAGTTTTACATTGAGATGACAGCTATCTTGAGTAAACAATCTCAATGTAAAACACCTTTTTTTTTTTTGAATGAACTCCAAGCTTTACTTATGTTGATCTTCTATGAATAGGAAGATACTAATTCAGGGTATGTCTACGCTACCCTCCTAGTTCGAACTAGGAGGGTAGTATAGACATACCATATCTTATATAATATACTGAGGTGCTAAACTCCCTCCCAGAGCCTGGCCCCCTGCATCCCAACTCCTTGCCCAGCCCAGAGCTTGCACCCAGCCCCAAAACTCCTTTCCAGTATCTGCACTCCTCTCACACCCAAACCCCCTCCCAGAGTTAGTCAGTTGTAAGAGAGTGGGACTTTGACCTATTCTGGGCACCAACAAAAATTGTGCAAACCTGCCATCCATGTACACTAGCACTTGCCATAGCAAAACTTTTGTTATTTGGGGTTTTTTTAAAGCACCTGTGAACACTAAAAGTTTTGTCACTCAATTGGCAGCGTAGACAAAACTAGGGATGTTAAGAGGAGGGTATTTAACCAATCGAGCAGTTGATAAAAATTCTATCGACTACTCGATTAGTCAATAGGCACCCTAGCTCGGTCTCAGCTTGTGCTGGGTGTGGGACCAAACCCTGCTGTGGCTCTGCAATTTAAAAGGCAGTAGGAGCCAGGCAACCTGTCCCCCACGCTCCAGCTCCTACTGTGTTTTAAGTTGCAGAGCTGAAGCAGGGTTTGGTCCTGAACCAGCGTGAACTGAGACAGAGCCAGGCCCCTCTGGCACCTACTAAATTTTAAATGCAGACCCTACAGCGGCTATGCATTTAAAGTGTAGTAGGAACTGGGTGGGCAGGCAGCCTGGACCAGTCCCGGCTCACACTGGGTGCAGGATCAAACCCCACTGCAGCTCTGCAATTTAAAATGTAGTAGAGGACGGAGGAGACAGGGGCAGGTGGAGGCTTTTAAATTGCAGAGCTGCACCAGGCGTGAGCCAGGACTGAGCCAGGCTACCTGGCCAGCTGGCAGCAGCACCTCTGCATGGAGGTCCTAGCAGAAGTTGGGACCTCCCACAGACAGAGGCGGGTGCAGGATCAAACCCCACTGCAGCTCTGCAATTTAAAATGTAGTAGAGGACGGAGGAGACAGGGGCAGGTGGAGGCTTTTAAATTGCAGAGCTGCACCAGGCGTGAGCCAGGACTGAGCCAGGCTACCTGGCCAGCTGGCAGCAGCACCTCTGCATGGAGGTCCTAGCAGAAGTTGGGACCTCCCACAGACAGAGGCCACCGCCGCAAAGAAGCCCCTGCTCACAGCGAGGGGGGCCCCCCCACAGCCAGGGCCTTCTTCGTGGCAGCAGCTGCTGCCTCCCCTGCTGCTTCTGATAGTGGCAGCAAGGGAGGAAAGCAGGACCTGGTGCTGCGGGGAGCTAGATTAAAAGCCAGTTCCCCACAGCACCATCTCCATGGTGCCACACATCTCCGCCATCACTAGAGCCCCTATCGGGGGAGGGGGATGTAACTGACTGGGCCAGGTCTGGGCACAGCTGAGGGCATCCACTCAGGACGAATTGCTCAAATTCGGGGCTCCTTACAGCCCCCAGACTGGAGACCTTTCCTAATAGGCCACAATCAGTCCCACAGAGCGCTTCAGCTGCCTGCCTGAAGCCTCACAAGCAAGACCCCTCCAACGCCCCAGCAATATCCGTGCCCCAGATGGCCCCGGGCCTCATACACAGGTGAGAGGTTTTAGAGCCCAATCTCACCTTCCCTGAACAAGTCCTGTCCGGTTCCAAGAAACTAGCCACAGATCCCAGGTCAATTTACCCTCTGGACTTTACCCACAAACCATGCTGAGCCAATCCTTTAGAATCTAAACTCTAAAGGTTTATTACTACGAGAAAGAAAAACATGAGAGTAAGGTTGTTAAGGTATCATATGTTACATGCATCAAATCTCCCAGTTCTCGATGCAGGCTCGCAGCAGAGATGTTATAACTGCTGGCTTAAAAGTCTTTGGTGAACATCCAGCATCAGGATGGTTTCCACAGCTCCTTTCGGCTCTTTGATCTCTGCATTGCTGCCTCTGAGATGAAGGGCTGAGCTGAGTACCAAGATAGAGTCGGTCACATGGCATATTTATAGCTCCTTCTTAATCTCTTCTTGGCTGCAGCAGGTCACTTGGCCAGCGGTCTATCCGTGTTCCCTGTTGGTAGCCCTTAGATGTCAGTCCCCATTCTTGAGGTGTATCCTTGGCCTATTGAGGGCTATTGTTCCACAGAGCCTCGCTAATTAGCATGTCCATAGGCCGAGCTCTGCCCATTGCTCAACCACATATAAACATTCAGTACTCATACAAAGTACATGCTTATAACTTCACACACAGACACTATACAATTACATGAATAGCATATATAGAATCAGCAGACAGTAAGCTTCTACTCAACACCTCACATGGCCCCCTTTATACCACTTTTGGGGCCAACTCCCCTCCCATGGGTGCAGCAGTGATCTGGCTGCTTCCCTCAAATTCAGTAATGTGATGGGGGGAGGGAGAACGGGCAGCAGCACAGAGATGGTGCTGGAGGGAACCGGCTTTTAAGCTGGCTTCCCCCAGCACTGGCTCCTGTTCCCTCCCACTACCTCAGATACAGAGGCAGCAAGAGGAGGGGAATGCGAGTAGTCGACTCGACTACCTGATACAACTTATTGGGTAGTTGACTAGTCAGCTACCCCCTTACATCCCTAGACAAATCCTCAGTCAAAAAAGCTTTTGGAAAACATACAAAAGAGAGTGCTAGAATTAATGACAGTTGAACAGTAAGTTTCACTGTTTAAATATTGACCAGTACTTTACCACTGGTCATTCATACAGGTCATTTACAAGTCCATGAAGAAGAGTTTGAAAGACACTTATGCAAAGAAAGTGCAAAATGTTGCTTGCGAGTGATTATTTCTTCAGTGAAATCCCAGTTGTCTCCTCTGTTACACAACTGTGGTTTGGCTCTTTGCTAAAGTATATAATTAATATCAAGTGTTCATTTTAGCATCTGATTGAGCCAACTCAGATAAAATCCAAACAAAATCCAAAACAAAAAAGATGAAATGAAACTCTTTAAGTTATGCTATCTTCCGTTACATTGTATTTTTAAATATTGCAGTGGTCTATGTGCTTCTGGTTTTGGGGCCAGAAGCAGAAGTAAAGAAATACTATGGCAGAGCCAATTTTTGCAAGATTAATTCTGCAGACCCAAGAGATTCAAATACGCTTCAGAAACCATCCATACATTTGAGTAATCTCCTTAGAGAAACAGTGGCAAACACCATTTCTTGAGCTAGATAAATCTGACTAAACAAAACACTTGAAAATATATAGCGAGGAAATTACAAAAGAAACAAAATTGCTGGTCCATATCTACATATAATTTTAAATATATTAAACTGCATTATTTCCAAATAAAAAATTACAAGAGAAACGCTAAGTTTAAAATCATGATACATTAAGAATCCACAGAGAAAACTTTGGGAAATGGGTCATTGAACAGCTGATCACATTTAAAACTATAAGACAATATATTTCAGTCTCAAATACATATTTTCTTTTCCCCCAAAGCAAGATAGATGTGCATGGGCATGGGTGCATGTGCATGACCACTAGGTGACTGGGAAGATGCAGCAAGCATGGAGGCAACTACATTTTGGCAATACAGCAAAGGGTCTATCCCATCCACTGATAAAAAGGCAGATGATAGAGACATTTCCCAAAAAGAAAACGATCTTGTTTTCCCCTCTAGCTTTCCCTGAGAATGTCAGTCTCCAGTCTCTGTAGTATCTTCCATGGCCTGTATGAGGATTAGCTGTTTTTTATGTTACACTAGACATCCAGTTTTACAAATAGGTGCTGGAGTTTTCTGTAGTGGCCAACTGCAGGTATTCTAAGGTGCCTTTTCGGTAGCTGGCCACCCGGGAAGGCTCACGCACCAAGACCTCTTCAATTTGTCTTTTCTCCAGAGACTTTGTTATCATCCCTGCTAAGTCATCCTGCAACCGCTGCTGATTCTCCCTGGAAATAGCAGGAGAGGAAAGATATCAGTGACTCATGTAATACAGGTACTATGATCCTCAGTTCCCAAAGTGTTTTTAGACAATTTTATCGTACCATTCTTGCAGACAGATTGTTAGCAGAATCAATTCCAAGTGAACATATAAATCCAACTCAGGATCTACTTGTGACTGTCCCTGACAATATGAGATACTCTCTCTGCCAAGGAAGTTTGTTTTGCATCACAATCTCCCACCTGTGGAGTCTGTGAATGCTCTTAAAATGAAGAGGAGAAAAGCCTCTGAACTAGATTCACAAACTTAGCTAAAATGGACTATGGCTCTCTCTCTATAACTAGACCTAGTTTCAAGTACCTGTAATATTCAGCAGCAGGGATCTCTCAAAATAATGTCCGTATTCTTAGAATTGTCTCCCTGCCAGAAATTCATGGGACATGTATAATTTTCACAGGTATTTTCCATTTTGAATAATTAAAAAATTCCCATATATATATCAGACTGGCAGTGGTGCATATCATGGAGTGAACACATAAATACCACCACCAATAGCAACTAGTCAGGTCTGAGAGATACCTTTGAACACACCGACAAACTGAGTTCCAAACCCCTAAAGCTAATACTTTCTATTTCTCTTTTTAAAATTTATTTATGATAAAAAAGTGCCTAATTAGAAAAAAAAATGTACTGAAGAAAACAGACTACGAGTATTACTTGTTCATCCCACAGATAAATATTTGCATAACAAATCTCTCAAGAGTTTTTGGTATTATATACTATCCAGAAAACTGGATACTCTCTGATCTGGAAAGACCCTGGCAAAAACCACCCCTCCTTCTTCAGGTAGACAGGAATGAATGGGCAAAATGTTAAACTTGTGCAATGGGACATGACCTAATTCTCACAAAAATTTGCAATTAAAATAATAATTAATAAAATTTTACACCCCCAAAATATCCCAATATTTTTTACAAACTACCATGTGCAGTATGGGATCTGTACTGCAACAGTCACTCCTGATGAGGATTGTGGCAGCTATTTCATTTTTTTAAATTAAAGCTAATGTTTGAAATAAAAAGTAGCATTACAAAGGTTTAGAAGAATGGCTCTGTACATTTGGGGTCATACCTTGGATTATAAAAAATTAGAAGTCTTACTTAAAAAGTGACAAGGTACATACTGTAAATAACCTGCATTGACCCAGACTTAGGTGTGCAAGCTTTTAGGTAAGTAGTAGGGAATAAGTGTTTGAGTACATCACCCATGGGAAGTTTTACAGAGTTAGCTGTGACAAGTGGATATGCACATAGGTGGGAATTGTCCCTCAGTCCATTGGTATCTGGGTTAGGATAGGCAGTGAAGAAAAACTCCATATCCCACTGAAATTGTTTGGAAAAATGTTATCAGCCAGACTTGATTTTTATCATGTCAGAGTAACTGATGCCCTTTGTATTGTGCAAAGTACATTTGAAATTACCACAAGTTGTCCAGAACTTAGTTTGCAAACTCTGAAAAGCAGCACTTCAGTGTCATCACAACTCTTTTCTTCCGAAACTGACTCAGTGTTACTTCAAAGGAAGACTGTTACCTAACTGGGTCTGATTAAACCAGGACATCGATCAAGTATTTTTGCCTGTAATGCCTCTCTTATACCCCCAAAACAAGTTTTCTTTAGAAGTTTTAAAAAACTATCTAGACCTTATGCCTGTGAAAGTAACTTTCAAAATTAGAACCAAATATAAAAAAAGAGGTCCTGAGTCTGCAAACAACATAAAAGGGTAATTAAGAGATATGCACAGTTCTCATTCATCTCAGTTTGGAATTGGGTCTGAAGATTAGTAATGACAATTTAATATTATTAACTATTTCACTACTGATCAAAGCATACAAGAATAAAGAAGGGAAATAACATGAAATCTGCACAATCGATTGTGACCAGCATCTCCTTTTAGTGTTAAAAGTAAGTGGAGCTTGGACTGGCGATAAACTTGGGTGAATACCACCACTGTTTTCCCCCAATTTGAACCCTGCACTTACTAAATCAACATCCCATTCTGGTGAATTTTCCTTGAATGTCTCCCACCTAAAACCCTGATCCCCCAAAGTATTTAAGCATATAAGAAATTCCAGAACTAATGATAGTGTGTCCATATGCACATATATTGCTGTGTCCTTTTCATGAGTCCAAGGAATACCAAAAAGTATTGTAAATAAAAAATTTCAGGGGGAAAAGTGAAAATCTGAATGAATGGTGAAGGCTCAAGTGCAAAGGCTGAGAGCTTTTTTCTCCCTTGTTATATATAAAGAACATCTTACACAGAAGGAGGTGTTGGGAGATTATACTGCCGGTCCTTCACTCCTGTCAGCCAGTATGTAATTTCTGTTCCTTTGCCCTAATATGATAGACAGGAGAGAAGCACAGTTTAAGGATTAGTTAGGCAAACTATATGATTTATATACTTTATGTGATAGTGTATTATATGATTGATGTATTGTTCTTGCTTACTGTATGTAACAGATACCAGAGCATAGGACAGACACCTATCAAATCTTATAAATTGAAACAAATAATGTATCACAACAAAGGTGAGCAACTTAATAGCACTCTACCACTAAGCCCATTCACCACTACCCACTCTTCAAATTTTTATTACCAGTGATAGGTTTCATCTACAATACTTTACACATATCTATATTTCCTTTACTTATGTTTCAGATGCTTTTTCAACTACTACATTAAATCTAGAGGGATGTCTCCGTCACCCTGTGACTGAACAACCAACAAATATGTCTCTCTTGCTCCTAGATGTTTGTCTAAAATAGGCAAACATCTCAAGTGTGTTTGTAGACATAATGAACGTTACCTTCAGGTAAGTCTCTCCTCTCTGTTTATACTGGAAATGGCAGTCTGTCCTCTTCAAGATGGCAATAGTAGACCCACTTACATGAATCCGTAAAGCTAAAAGTAACCAGAAATGCTCAGTTCAGAAACTTAATGTATGAATGTTTTCATTTTCTGTGCAAATCTGTGCTTAGAGAGGTTTATCTAGTTGTCTTTGATGTCTTAGGACCAACTCTGTGATTCAAATGACATGGAAGCTACTCATATATTGTTAAACCCAGAAAGAACTACTCCATCACAAAGCATTATATAAGAAAGACTAAAACAACTACACCTGTACCAACCAATATCTCAGGATAGAAGTGATAGCAGTATTTGGAAGGAGTAAATATCAAGAAGAGGAAGGAATGGGAAGAAATTGAGCAAAGGGAAGAAATTTTAGGCTGGCTCTCAAGAAACATTCCTAATGGCAAAACTATCAGACTATGGGATATTTATAAATCTCAGAGGGGTAGGTATATTAGTCTGTTTCTGTAAAAACAACGAGGAGTCCTGTGGCACCTTAAACACTAACAAATGTATTTGGGCATAAGCTTTTGTGTATAAAAAACACCATCAGATGTACGGATTTCCACATCATGCATCTGACCAAGTGTTTTTTACCCACAAAAGTTTATGCTTAAATATATCTGTTAGTGTTTAAGGTGCCACAGGACTCCTTCTTATTTATTTATATTTAATATAATAAAAATGACTATCAGTGTTCCCTGTAAGCTGTGTGCTTGTGTGGTTGCTCAGGGTAGATTCAAATGCCTCTCAGCTGATTAACAGAGCACTCACAGCTAGGTTTTTGCTTCTACTGGTGGTGAACATTCGCACATGCCTCTGTGCATATAAAAATGTAGTCCTCATGTGGACAGAAAAAAGTCCACACATGGATGAAAAAGATTAGAAGGAACACTGATGCCTGTCTAAGTCACTAAGCACTCTGATAGCGTATGTCTACACTACAAAGTTAATTCAAACTAACAGAAGTTAGTTCGAATTAACTTTGATAGGCGCTACACATACAAACCGCTAGTTCGAATTAAGTTCGAACCAGCGGAGCGCTTAATTCGAACTAGGTAAACCTCATTCTACGAGGACTAACGCCTAGCTCGAATTAACTAGTTCGAATTAAGGGCTGTGTAGCCACTTAATTCGAACTAGTGGGAGGCTAGCCCTCCCCAGGTTTCCCTGGTGGCCACTCTGGGCACCACCAGGGAAACTCTTCTGCCCCCCTCCCGGCCCCGGAGCCCTTAAAGGGGCACGGGCTGGCCACGGTGCCCATGCCAGGTGCAAGCCTGTCAGCACCCAGCCAGCAGACCCTGCACCTGGCACGGCTCGAGCCAACCACCCGCTGCCACCCAGCCCTCCGCCTCTTCCCGGGACCAGGTTGGTGGCTCCCGGGAGCCTGCCCAGGTCCGCAAGAAGCGGGCGCCCACCTGGTCTAGTGCAGACATCGTGGACCTCATCCATGACCTCCGCACTAGGCACAGGAAAGTGGCCGTCTAGGGCAGGATAGCTTCCAGCCTGGCCACCCAGGAGCAGGTTGGCATGAAAATCAAGGTGGTCCACTGAGACCCCCGACCCTGAGCTTACAATGGCCGTACTGGATCAGACTAAAGGTCCACCTAGCCCAGTAGCCTGTCTGCTGACAGCGGCCAACACTAGGTACCCGGGAGGGGATGGACCGAAGACAATGACCAAGCCATTTGTCTCGTGCCATCCATCTCCAGCCTTCTACAAACAGAGGCCAGGGACACCATTCCTTCCCCCTGGCTAATAGCACTCCATGGACCCAACCTCCATGACTTTATCTAACTTCTCTTTAAACTCTATTCTAGTTCTAGCCTTCACAGCCTCCTGCAGCAAGGAATTCCACAGGTTGACTCTTTGCTTTGTGAAGAAGAACTTTCTGTTGTTAGTTTGAAGCCTGCTACCCATTCATTTCATTTGGTGTCCTTTAGTCCTTCTATTATGGGAACTAATGAAGAACTTTTCTTTATGCACCCGCTCCACACCACTCATGCTTTTATAGACCTCTATCATATCCCCCCTCGGTCTCCTCTTTTCTAAGCTGAAAAGTCCCAGTCTCTTTAGCCTCTCTTCATATGGGACCTGTTCCAACCCCTGACCATTTTAGTTGCCCTCCCCTCTCCCACCCTTTCTCTTCCCCCTCCCACCTTCTTTTCCCAGTCTCCCCAAGTTTTGTTCTATAAAGAGAGTTTCTATTTTTGAACACATGTGTCCTTTATTTTGTACATCAGGAAGGGGGGGCTAGGGAGGGGTAAGTGGAAGGAGGTGAGGGAGGAATGGGGTACAAGTCCCCGATGGGGAGGACTGGGCTGGCTCTGCGGGCTCCTCGGGGTGGAAACTCTCCTGAAGCCCCTTGATTGCCCCCCCCCCGGATGGCAGCCTGCGGCAAGGTCAGCCGGGCTGATGGCCGAGTGCTGGGATGTGCCGAGTGTGAGCAGGACTGAGAACCCCTGAGAACTGTCTGTCCGGGGTGGGGGTCAGGTTCCTTTAAGCACAGCCCTCGGCTAGCCTGAGGCAGCAGCTCCACGCTCTAAGTCCTAATCTGATGCCCTGCCGGCACTGCTTCCGGCCATCCTTAACCTCTGTTCAGGGTCCACTCAGTGTGGACATGCTAGTTCGAATTAGCAAAATGCTAATTCGAACTAGTTTTTAAGTCTAGATGCGCTAATTCGAATTAGCTTAGTTCGAATTAACTAAGTTAGTTCGAATTAGTGCTGTAGTGTAGACATACCCATATAAATCAATTATATAATACATGCAATTACTTTAATCTCAGTGGTATTAAAATCAATTCTACAGGAACCCAGCCAGCCAGACAGTTAGCACCTTCATCAACTAGCAAGCAAGAACTAGGGATAGGCTTGTGTTATTCAGGACGGAGTGGAGGAATTGACAATATGATTTAATAGGTCTTTTCTATCTTTAAACTTCGATACTTTGATGATGAAGTATTTCTTGGCTAGAGAAGGGACACTGTATTTGAGTGTACATCTAGCCTACTGCCAGACTACATAGACAGGTGGGCTTCAATTCTTACGTAAACCCGTGGATTCCATCCTGGAAGCTGTATTAACCGTGTCACCAAACAGACAGTAACGCGGCATCTTAATTCCAACCACACCAGCAGCACATGGCCCTGAAAGCAGGAAACAGGGTAGAGGAAAAGACATTCTTGTTATTCCTTGGAGATTCAGAGAAGTCTTTGAGATATCAGACATGCCTGAAAGAAACCGAAGCTTAGGAATTAGTATGGTGCCCTCATTGCTATGGGGGTTATGCAGAGTGGATGGTCTCATCTGGAAGACAGCACTTCAAGCAGCAGAGCAGGGGCACTGGATTCAGCACAGATTGAAAGCACAATCTATATCACTTTCCACACCATCTGGAGATCTAACATCCAAGTGTGGACCAGACCAGTCTCTGTTCACCTTGTAAAATATAAAATGTATTAAATATATTAAGAGACTATTCATAATATTTGAACATATTTCTATATACATACAAATGCATAAGTATTGACATAGTGTATGTATTATGGGATAATGTTGACTAAGGTATGCAGCTCCAGCTACATGGATAGAGTATCTGGAGTCGACATACCTTAAATCAAGTTGCTGTGGGGTCTCCCCTGCAGGGATGCTGATGTGAGAAACTCTGCCGCCAACTTCCCTTATTTGTCTCATTCAAGTGAACTAACAGAGTTGATGAGAGTATGATCAGCAGTCGATTTAGTAGGTCTTTACTAGACCTGATAAATTGAGTTCTTGGGGATTGATCACTGTGGTGCCAATCTCCCAGTAAGTGTAAACCTGCTCCGAGTGTCAGCTCAGGAACCAGGGGATAGAGAGAATTAACTTCATTATGGAGAAGTTTCTGCTGACGTCATGAGGGTCTTCCTAAGGAAATTAGTTGTTATATCCCTTCTCCACTGATGGACATAAACAACAGAGTAGTGAAAAAAGCAAATACAGAAAGATAAAGTTTCCCTGAGAATTTAGGATCTTTGGATTATCTACAAAGCCCCTTTAATAAATTAAACCAAAAACTGGTTTTCACATGAGCCAGATGAGAACATTTGCCTCAAAAGCATCTAATATAATCCTGCTTCTCAATGTATGTGCAGGGTGAGGGGGTGGTCTCTAAGAACATGTCTACAGTAGGAAATTATTTTAAATTAACTTATTTTGAAATAATAACTCCCAAAATAACTATTTCAAAATAGCATATCCGCATGACAAGGAAGCCTTGAAATTAGTCCAAAGCAGGCTCCCTTAAAGTCCTCTAACTCATCTTAGAGCCCCAGGAAGCACTGGGGAGTAATAACTTTGAATGACTCTGGGGAGTTGTTATTTCAAAATAGCAGCAGTTGGGCATCCACACTACCGCTATTTGGGTATGTCTACACTACCCCGCTAGTTCGAACTAGCGGGGTAGTGTAGACATACCCTTTCAAAATAACTATTTTGAAATAAGCATTATTCCTCATGGAAACTATTCCTCAGGCATTATTATTTCAAAATAATAGGCTTGGTAGTGTGGATACTCCGCTTGTTATTTCAGAATAAGGGGAGTTATTTCAAAATAATGTAGACCAGAACTAAGGGCTCAGAAGGGTATAATGTCACCAACTCAATCTCATAAGTAACTATAGAGGCTGGGTTGCTCAGCTACCAACCTCACACAGATTGGATTGTTAAATGATATTGGAGCAAGCCAGTGGTCTATTAAATTACACTGCCCTTCCTCCATCAATGGTTTTTTATATGTGATCCTTTCGAGGAAGGCTAGTCACAGGGCTTTGGGCCAGTTGTGTGTCATGCTAAATCACCATCCTCACAGAGAATCAATTTATGAACAGTGAAGCATGAGCACTTCTAACTAGAGGTTACTTTTTTATCTAGATAGAATAGCTACATCATTCATGTTCATATGCCATGACCCCATACCAGAGTGAATCCCTATGCGAATCCAAACAGGCAGGCCTGGAAGATGCCGTAATTCAAAGGATCCCATGAAACTAAGGATATCCAATGCCATCATAGAGATGTCCACTGCATGGCGGTTGCCATTTCTCTTTGGCAAGCCACTCACCACCATATACGCATCACCAATGGTCTCCACCTGTAAAAACATGGTTAGCTGTTACCATTCCCAGTTATTGGAAGATACCTATAAATTGGAGATGGAAAAGGCCCCTTATGTCATCTCTTGGCAGTACAGGATTACCAAATTAGATGACATCTTTCTGTTAGTGAAATGCTCAGTACACAGCATTCTAGGTAATGAATCTGTGACCACTTAGCATCAGAAACCATTTACAGATTGCTACACACATTAGGGAGAAATAATCTCGGCCTGTACTTCTCTCCTTTTTCTTTACTTAGCATCACGTTTTTGAGCCTTTGTACCAAACTCTATTCCCTATTACCCAGTCTGTGATGTTCTATGTAACCTGATGATTATTTCAGTGTAAGTGAGGCTCTATTCACCTTGTAAACATCGTGATGGTCAAGAATATGGTCAAAGTTCTTATAGATGTCATTGAGCATGTCCACCACTTCCATAGGAGTGCTGTATTGGCACAGTGTGGTGAAGCCGACAATGTCACTGAAGTAGATGGTGACTGCTTCAAACAGCTCTGGCTCTACCCGCCCAGTCTCCTTCAAAGATTTTACCACTGGCCTGTGAGGAAAGGTGGAAGGGAAATGCAAATAAGTATACCTTGTGCTTTAGAGGACAACCCAACCTTCTAGAGCTGACAGGGGAGGAAGAGTTCCAGAAATAGAGGTTTGGTAAATAAACAAACCAACATTTTGGTGCTGAATTCAACCAGTACTTGGAAAGTTGGACATGCTAGGATTTCTGGTTACAAGAGCCTTATAGCTGAGGAGCTCTTATTTAGATTGTAAACTACTTGGGGAAGAGACTTTTCTTATATTTTTGCAAAACACTATGCATCTCTGTGCTACCTTATTCATAACTGAGATTCTGAGAAAATCCAGAGACCAGACTGTATCAGGCAGGCAGCCTCATCCCAAGACCTGCTATCAAGGCTCTAGATTGGAACTGTGAACACTAAAGCCAAGAGCCCCATGACCTGTCTATATGGAACCACTCCTTAAACTACAAGGGATGTGAATTGCAGCACACATTTGTGTGCTGCGCTATAACTCACTTGTATGTATGCAATCTAAAAGGTACCTAGTTTGTACTAACTTAGTGCTTTTGAAAGAGGACTATGTTAATGTGAAGTAGTTAATTCACACTTACAATGTCCATATGGAGAAGTTACAACACAGTACACTGGAGTGCGCTTCAGTTCACACATTCATAGACCCAACTGCAGGGCTGTGTACACATAGCCATACTTCGTTCTCCTTAGTTCCAATCTGTCTAGTGAGTATTTAACAGCTTTGGAAATTTAATCTATTTTTCAGTGCTCTTTGGCGCACATACTTTCTCTGTACATCTCACTCTTGACAATACTGAGGGCTGTGTCTACATTGGCACCCTTTTCCAGAAAAGGGATGCTAATGAGACAAGTCGGAATTGCAAATGCCGCGGGGGATTTAAATATCCCCCGCGGCATTTGCATGAACATGGCTGCCGCTTTTTTCCGGCTTGGGGCTTTGCCGGAGAAAAGCACCAGTCTAGACGGGATCTTTTGGAAAATAAAGCCTTTTCCGGAAGATCCCTTATTCCTCTTAAAATCAGGAATAAGGGGTCTTCTGGAAAAGGGTTTATTTTCCCAAAGATCCCGTCTAGACTGGCGCTTTTCTCCGGCAAAGCCCCGAGCCGGAAAAAAATGGCAGCCATGTTCATGCAAATGCCATGGGGGATATTTAAATCCCCCACGGCATTTGCAATTCCGACTTGTCTCATTAGCATCCCTTTTCTGGAAAAGGGTGCCAGTGTAGACACAGCCTAGTAGTAACAAGGCCCTAAAAGGAAAACATAATAAACTGAACTGAGGTTTTAAATAAAAAATCCAGGCTCTAATCGAGAATAAAAAATAGAGCCCTGCATGGATACAAAATTGGTATCCACATCTGCTGTGCAGAGCTTTGGAAATATGTTAAGCTAAAACACACAGGGCAAAATAAAAGTGTCCACCTGGGGAGTTAGTGCAAAATAGATGTTTCAAATGATCTCCAGACTGTTTAGTCCTCTATTGCACCTATAGGTCTCCCTCTGGCATCAGTCCTAAATGCCTTTCAGATGTGACACCTACGTTGCACCTACACAGCAGCATTATTCCAGAATAACAGACGTTATTTTGAAATAACAATGCAAGTGTCTACACAGTAAGGGTATGTCTACACTACAAAGTTAATTCGGTCTCCTCTTTTCTAAACTGAAAAGTCCCAGTCTCTTTAGCCTCTCTTCATATGGGACCTGTTCCAAACCTCTGATCATTTTAGTTGCCCTCCCCTCTCCCACCCTCTTTCTTCCCCTCTCCCACCTCCTTTTCCCCTCTCCCACCTCCTTCCCAGTTTTAAGAGAGTTTATATTTTTGAACACACGTGTCCTTTATTTTGTACAGCAGGAAGGGGGGCTAGGGAGGGGTGAGTGGAAGGAGGTGAGGGAGGAATGGGGTACGAGCCCCCAGTGGGGAGGACTGGGGTGGCTCTGCGGGCTCCTCAGGGTGGAAGCTCTCCCGCA